CAATGTGCGTTTAAATTTTACACTGTTTACATGTAATAATTGCGGGTAAAATGATAAAACAACATAACGATAGGTTAATATTACTTAATGTTCTTTCGAAATTTGGTTTAAGAGTTAAAAGAAATAAATGTTGTTTTCTCAAAAAACCAATTGAATATCTTCTTATTCTTTTGGGTTAATCGGCCGCTAGGACCATCCCGTCTCACAACCAATTCTCCAGCCATCTCTATTCATCGCCAAATCCTTCCAGTTTGCTCCGCCTCCTAAGTCTTCTTTATCCCTCTTAACTATATCTTCCCATCTCAATTTTGGTATTTCCAAGGCCTTTTCCTACTGGATTCTGTTCCAACACCATTCTTAGTAGAGAGTTCTGGCTCCTTATTGTATGTCCTGCCCATCGCAACCTTCTTTTCTTGATCGTCTCTGCTATATTATTTTCATTAAAAATTTCTTGTAGCTCTATATTTTTCCTTCTTCTCCATTCTCCTGTGATGTCATCTTTTATTGGACCGAAGATCTTCCGTAATATTTTCCTTTCTAGTATTAAGAACTTATTCTCATCTGATTTCCTTAGTACCCAGGTTTCCGATCCGTACAATATCACTGGTCGTACTAGACTGATATACAAACGTCTCTTTATCTCTCTTGATAATGATCTAGAACTTAATAGTTTCACCAAACCATAATAAGTCCTGTTTCCCGCTTGGATTCTCGCGGCACCTTCTTTGTTGATATCATTTTTTTCACTCACAATTGAGTCAAGATATTTGAGAGAATTAACTCTCTTAAATTTAAAATGATCTACCTCCAAAACGTGATCCATCCAATTGTTTATACCTATAATCATATATTCAGTTTTTTGTTCATTAATTTGTAGTCCTACTTTCTGTGCTGCGTCATTAAGTATTTCACAGAGCCGTTTAACTCCATCTTGAGATTCGTCCATCAGTACTATATCATCGGCATATGCCAATAATGGAATAGCCGAGTTCCGGAGTTTTATTCCTTCGTGGGGTTCAATTTTCATCTCTCTTATTACTTTTTCCAAAACCAGGTTGAAGAGAATAGGTGAGATGGAATCACCCTGTCTAAGGCTGGATTTTACTGTAACTGGATCCGACTTCATATTTCCGACTTTTATTTTGACCACGGTTTCCATGATGCTGATTGAGACTAAATTGACCAGCTTCTGGGGGAAATCGAACTCTTTCAAAATGTTTATGAGACTTTCCCTATGAATACTGTCGTATGCTTTTTTGAAGTCAACGAATAACGTATGTATCTTCTTATAGAATTCCCATGTTTTTTGGTATAATTGTCTAATAATAAATATTTGGTCCGTCGTCGACTTCCCCGGTCTAAAACCACCTTAAGACTCACCAATTGTCTGTTCTGCTTTTTCCTTTATTCTTGTTAGAATACAATTTGAGAACACTTTGGACGCCATATTCAATAGGGCAATTCCCCTATAATTATTGCGGTCTTGTTTATCTCCTTTTTTGTGTATTGGGTAGATTAGGGACGTTTTCCAATCTTCTGGAAATTCTTCCGTTATCCATACTTTTTTTATCACTTGTCAGATCCATTGTGTCACGTCCTCCCCTCCTTTTTTAAGCAATTCAGTCTGGAAACCATCTTCGCCTGGAGACTTATTGTTTTTCAGATTCTTTATTTGTAAGTCTATTTCTTCTAAAGTTGGCTCTAGGCATTCTTGGTCGTTTATATTTCCTAGGTCATACATGAACAATTTGTCTGGTTCTTCACAGTTCAGTAGCTCTTCAAAGTATTTCTCCCATTATTTAGCTATATCTTCATTTGTAGTAACCAAGGATCCATTACTATCTCTAATAAAACGTTCGCTTCTTTTGAAATCCTCACTTAAATTCTTAATAGTCTTATACATATCACGTGTTTTATTTGCTTTAAAATATTGTTCTGTCCTTTCTAGCAAGTTACATACAAATTTTCTTTTCTCACATATTAAAATGTTATTTGCCTCCTTTCGTCGTGTGATAAACCTTGTTCTCTTTGTCTCATTGTTCGTAACCTTAACCATTCTTCACGAGGAGCTTTTCTTCTCTGTAGTGCTTCCTCACATATATTATTGAACAAAACTTTTGATACATTTCTTTTTGTTCCTATTACTCCCGTCGCTGCTGCTTCTATAGTATCTTTGACAATATTCCATATTTCATTCACATCACTGGTATGTTTTATCTGCTTCTCTTCAAAAATCTTCTTGGTTGTGCTGTTATAATCCTTGAGAATCCTCTTGTCTTCCAACTTCTCCACGTCATATCTTCTCATGGATGTTGCATTACATTTAATGTGCTTTTTTAGCTTTATTCGTATCCAAAAACCCACTAGTAAATGATCAGAATCAGAGTCTGCCCCACGTAATGTTCGAACATTAGTAATTCCATTTTTAAACCTCTCATTTACCAGAACGTGGCCTATCTGATTCTTATATTTTCCATCACGGGATACCCAGGTGTACTTATGAATCTTCTTGCGTGGGAATATAGTGCTTTTTATACATAGTCCTTTTCCTACTGCAAAATTAATCAGCTTCATACCGTTGTCATTCGAAGCTTCATGTAGGCTTTGTGTCCAAATTACCGCTCTATACAGCGCTTCCTTGCCGATTTTAGCGTTAAAATCACATAGAACTATTTTAACATCACCAACTGCTGTATCCATTACGTCTTCTAATGTAGAGTAGAACTCTTTCTTCTCTTCATCGTCTTTTTCTTCGGTTGGTGCATGAGCATTAATTAGAACTATTCGAAAATCTCTGGTCCTTAGTGTTAATGTGGAGATTCTTGGGCTAATATCCCTGAAGTCCTTTACCATGTGAATTATTGATTCATGTATCGCGAAACCAGTCCCTAATCTGTCCTTGTTCACTATTTCCGTTAATGATGGTTGTTTGAGATATTTTACTAGATCCTGCATCTTCCCATCTCACTTCTTGCAGGGCTATACATCTGATTTTATACTTCTCTGCTACTCTTACTAAATATTGAATATCGTATTAAATATCTAGGTTATAAAATTGTTGAGCAAGCCTTACACACATTGTCAGAACACACTGACGCTATTTCTTCAGCTCAAATTCCAGAAAATAAAACATACTGAAATCGTTTTCAGGATTAGTAACATATTATATTAAATTTAAACCTAACGCAACAGATATTTTAAAACCACTTTATTTGCTTCTAAATAGGGATATTAAATGGCATTGATCACCGAATTGTGACAAAGCGTATACAAAATTAAGGACATTCTTACATCCTAGACCTGTTAGAATTAAAAACCCTATTCAACGTTTTTCTCCTTGTGATTATTAATAAGTATGTTACTGTATTATTTTTGCATATTATAAAAACATGTTTACTACACATAAATATTACTTTTGTACGAAATATTCTAATTTGATATTGCTTTTGTAATAATTTGTATTGTCTACCTATATAATATTAAAAATGTAATTATGGTTAAGTATATTATTTTTGATTTGATTTTAAATATTTAAAAAAGAAAAGAGGTGTTACGTGTCAGCAGGTTATATAAATATATGTATATGGTGGGGATTGTCTACCATACGCGAGTGCTGCACCAGCACAATTCGTCATTCGTGTAATTTGGGTTTCATAATAAACGTCAGCGAATATTATTATTTACATTAATCTAATTGTGTTTTACTTTCATACTATGGTATAATAATTACGAATTTTATATCAGTTCTCAATTTTAATCAGCCAGAAAAAACTTAGGTAAAAAAAAAAATTGAATTTGTGTAAACTAAAAGTAAAAAGGAGTACTTGAGCACAAAACTTAATAGTATCATTCTGCATAGATCTACATAAAAATTGTTTTTAAAATTTTAGGTTTTTTTGTTAAAATATACGTAAATTGCGAAAAGACAGTTTTCCAGCAATTAAAAAAAACTGTGTTGCCGAATTTGTTTTCCGTTTAATATGTTATGAATACATATGAGTTCTAACTACTGACAAATTTTCAGCTTAAAGGTCTTAAAATAACGGCTAAAAAACTAAAAAAACAAAAAAACCTGGACCCACCTTTTACGGGGTGGGAAATGGGTTTATTTTAAATTTGATATAACTGACGTGTGCGCGGGCATACCAAATAAATATTCCTTATAAAATTTAACACGATCTGACTCTTTTTATCGAAATTATAGCCAGTAAAAGTTTTAACTTAAAAACTCGTGTTTTTTTTTTCAAATTTCGACTGTGAAAAAGTAAACTTTTTCAAATTTTATCCCCCCCAAAGTACCAACTAGATGAAATTTGTGATTTATAGAGTTGCTACACGAAGAAATCAGTTCAGCGGTTTACGTTATATCGTGGGTCAAGACACAACTGAAGCTGAAAAAACACAAAAATGGCGTGTTAAGTTTGGATTTTCCAATTATGTTTTTAGCATTGATTAGATAACTAAGCGAAAACAATTTTCAATTATTATCTATTTCTTTGATTCAATTGAGAAAATTGTAAATATTGTATATTATGTTCAGCTACGATGCGGAGCTGAGAAAGTATTGTTTATACACCGTGGATTTTTATCATTAAAATTGTTTTTCGTGTATGTTAAAAATCATAATTGTTTTTAACCAATAAGTAAGAACTTAAAGTAACCTAATTGGCCAAAAATAGTTTATCCTTTCCCTTTTCACAACCGAGAGGTACTAACAGAAATATTATATATTTAAAAATTTTAGTATAAAAAAGTTAAATTGTATGAAATATTCTTTAGACAGAACACTATCGAAAAACGTTAGCAATATTTGCATATGTTTTACACACGAGAAAACGGTTTTACAAGTAAATGTAGTAAGTTATTCTAAAAAATAACAACGAGAGAGTGCGTGTATGAAAAATGGCATACAATGCAAATAAAAAAGTTTTTGAATATCTACTGTTTACTTAAAACGGCACAACTCAATAGTTACGAATTTGAAATTGTGTTCAGTCCTGAAGTATATGTTCTTATAGTAGGTACTGCGCTAATTCATACTATTTGAATCACAGTCACCAATCAATAATACAATACTCAAATTACATTATAAAATCTTCATAAGTATCGAATAGTTTCAAAACAGTTTTTTTTTCAAAACTTATAATTTAACATTCTGAATCCGAGTTTATTTTTTTGATAAATTAACATGTATTTGAAAAGTATACTGTTTTTTTGCATGGCGTCATTCTTTTTCCAATGTCAAGGTGTCCCCCCAACTGAAGAACAGATTGTAAGTAAACCAGCACTTATTATTTATTATGATCGAGATAAAACGCTGAAATTCTTGTTTAACTTTATACAGAGATGGATATTATTTAGAAAATTGTTTTCCTAAATATTTATTTAAATCATGTTTTTATTCGAATGACCGACGAATAATTTTTCGAATGATTGACATATAATTTTTAAATTGGATAATTATTATGCTAATAAAAAAAAACCTTAGACTATATGTTTTATTTTTTATAAATATTAATTTTTTCTTTAGTTATGTTCTTTAATTGTTGACATATTTAAAAAAAAATGTATTACAATTTGTCGTATAAAAATTGTTAGAAAGCAACTTAGATTTTGTAGAATAAAAAAAGTATTGGAATAAATAGTCTTAAATAATATTGAATAAAAAAGACTATATGCCAAACGTAATATCGCTTCTCCAGTGGAACAATGGTGTAAGTGCAGGGGCGTAGCCAGTAGGTAGGCTTGGTGACCCGGGCCTACCCAACATTTTCTATATATGGGGCATTCTGAGTTAAATCACGCGGTCATCGGCCTGACATCCTCAAATATTTTTGAAATTTTTTTTTCAAACTTCCTGAAGTCTAATATTAGATTTTATTTTTTGGAAATTTTTATCACTAATTTTTGCCCCAACAATAGAGGTTTTTAAAGTCATTTTTCCAAAAAAATTGATTTCAACCAGTTTTAAATTTCTGAATTTTTTTTCATAAAATCACAGACAAATCAAATCTTTTAGTCTAATAACGGGAGTGGGTCGAGATATATTTCTAATTTTTTTTTAATAAAGAAATTTTTTTTTTTTTAAATCTGAATTAAAAAAATTTTATTTCAATTTTCTTATTAAAAAATAAAACAAGTCTTGGTAAATTTTGATTTTTTGCATATTTTTGGAGTAAAAAGTGAAAAATGTTCCTTACGAATAACATTAAAAATAATACACAGGGGCATAGTGTGAGCGCTATGTGTCCGTTGCTGCTTGATCCAGGATGGGTGACCACCCGGGAAAATTTTCATTTTTAAAAAAAAATAAATAAATAAATCTCGCCCCACTTTCTTTAGTAGACGAAAAGATTTTATTTAAATCTCTGATTTTATAATAACAATTTCAAAAATTTAAAACTGGTCGAAATCGATTTTTTTAAATAAAAAACTTAAAAAACTTCTATTTTTGGGGCAAAGATTAGTGATAAAAATTTCCAAAAAATAAGTGTACTATATTAGACTAAAAGAAGTTTGAAAAAAAAAATTTCAACAAAATTTGAGGTCAGGCCGATGACCGCGTGATTTGACTCAGAATGCCCCATATATATAGAAAAAGAAATTAAATTATTAATAAGAATAAACATTAATTACTTTGTTTATCAATGGCTTATAGTGGGCCTACCCAAAAAAAAAATTCCTAGCTACGCGCCTGTGTAAGTGCAAATTTAACTGTTCAACAGAAAACGTGTTTTAAATATTTAGTGCAATGGTAACCGTACACGATGGTAAACGACAAAACTGCTCTCTAGCGGTCAATAATAGGTATTACACTTATGCCATGGTTTTACTCGATAAAATTCAATGTTATCATACTGTTTTCGTATTTAAGTCAAAAAGTCAAAAATTTGCACTTGCACCATTGGTCCACTGGAGAAGCGATATATTGTTTAGAAAACGTATTTAATGTTCTTACAATCGCCAGTTACGCTTAGAAGAATATTTTTCACTTATACTAAACATACTTTTACACTTATTCTGAAAATTATAGAATATGGTTCGAGAACTAGTCGCGTCAAAAGTGGGGCATGATGGCAAAATGGACTTTAGTCAATTACAAGAAGTAGCAGTCGAAGTAGGACTAACAATCAACGAAAATTGTAATGAAAATGATGTGGATTTACGTAATAGATAGTAGAAAAATATTGAAAAAACAATTTAATAATCAATTTTGTTACTTATATAGTTGAAAATTAAAAAAAAATTGTAATCAAAAAATCATAACTCTTAAACCAAATGAAAAGTTAAAAAAACGGGTACATTTTGATGATGTACTAAACAAATTATAAAATGTGATGATTATCATGTGATATATTCATTAACTAATATCACTATGAATATATAATGTGATTTGACTTTATTATTCTTAAATTACAATAACATAAAAAACAAATGTTTTTCAATTGTAACACGATACTATTCTCGATTCCCTTGCTGTTAAATTTGGTCATTTTAATAATAAATATTACTATGTACTTTCAGGTTTTCGATATACAAATGACGAAGCTGTAATCTTCATCCTATCGTTTACAGCTAACACAAATCAAAGTTTAATTGTAAATAAAAACTATAAAACTATATTACAAATAAAAAGCTCGTTAGTTTGTTTGTGTTAAGATATTCAAAATAATCAAACTTTTAATTCTCTCATTTAAAACAGGATTAACACTTATAACTTTAAAAAGTATAAGTTTTTATTATAAGTATAAAAATTCTCAGCTTATTGAATGATATTGTTTTTCTCTCAAACCATAAAATGATTTTGTTGTTGGTTTCTTACACAAAAAAAAAATATATATATAAGCTTACAAAAAGATTTCTTCCATTTTTTTAAACAGAAATGAAGAATTAAAATTTAAAAAATTTCCTAAAATAAAACTTATAGCCGCATGTCTGTTAGGATAAAAAGATTATTTAAAATGTTTTATGATTTTTTTTTCTCATGTTTTTTTTGCCCAAAATAATCGAAAAAATACCAAAACAATTTAAGAAAATTATTTTTATCGTAACATACATGCTGGGTACGCTTCAAAAAGTTCCGCGGGAAGGGGGTTTCTCCAAACGTTTGTTCATAGTTTAGCGTTTTGGTTCGCTAATGAAGGATTAGTTTTTGTGTTAACTATAAAATACATTTTAAAATTAAATTCTTATTCTGAAAATTATAGAGCTTTGTTAGAGATATAGTCAAGCGAAATTTGAAGCAAGATCGCGCCGTAAAATTTGATAGAATAAAAGCTATATTTTACCAAATAGCTAATGAAGCTGACATGACAGATGAAAATATGGATATGTTTGAAAGCCTAGAATCACAATCAGGTAATTAAACGATTTATAAAAATATTCAATAAATATGTTGAGTAAAATGGTCAAAAACCATTGAAAAGACATCATCATTAACAATCAAATGTAATAACTATAAAAAAGTATTTTTTTTTTAACTAAGAGTTAGTAATAAATAAATCTAATAAAAAATTTAGAAAATTGGGACCATATTTTTATTACATTATTATTCTAAAAACTATTATTTTAAATATTAATGTTTTTCTAGTATACCACATAGTTATTCTCAACTCATTTGACCTGATTCGTTTGTTTAAAAAATGTGTAATATTTTGTACTTTCAGACCGTATGTTTCATAAGGATGATGTGATGACCTATGCCCTAGCGTTTGCTGCTACAAAAACACCGAAATTAAAGGTAAATAACAACCATAATACTGTATTTCAGATAAATGGCTTGTTAGGTTGGTTTTGTGAGATATTCAAAATATTCAAAAAAGTTAGACATCTGCCATTTTTTATTTTCTGATCTCGATAAATATTGTCTTTCTTTTAAACCTAAAAGATATGTACGACCTTCCCAATAGTAAAACAGTAGGATTTTTATGGTAAATGATTTTGCCACTGATTCTTTACATATAAAAAAATATTTAATAAAAGAACCATTTTCGAACGAATTTTTCCAATTATTGATACAGTAAGAGAGAAATAAAATACAATATCTTCTTCCATTTTTTACATAATATGAAATTAATACGTTAACTACTATATAATTGATGTTTTTTGCATATAAAAACCTCATGGCCTATTTTGTGTCTTGTAGATAGCAGTATTTATTTCGCTAAGGAGGAATCAGTTTTATTTGTAACTTGTAATACACTATTTAATTTCTAATTATTACTCTTATAATAATAGGCAACAGTAAAAAGTGTGATCCAGAGTTATAATACTAGTAATTTGAAAAGCCATAGAGATATCATAGCAATATGCAGGATAATAGCAGATGCAGCGCCGGAAGTAACCATAGGAGTACCCAAATATGAGCACTTCATAAAATATTGGAAAAGTAATAAAACAATAGAATTATATTCAATAAATGTGTTGAGTAAAATGTTCAAAAACTAATGCGAAAATATTATGATAATACAATTTATCATTTTTATAGATGTAAATTATTTTTTTTCAAACTAAATATTAAAACTCGAAAAATAACTAACAAATTAAAAAACCTTTTTTGATGTACAAAAAAAGAATTAGCAAAACGTGAGATACGTGATATTACATTATTCTACTCATACAATTATTTGAAACAAAGACGTTTTTTTTTTGTAACATTGTTATTCTCAACTCAATTTGCTTGATATGTTTGTTTACATAATGTATAATAATTAATATTTTATAATTTCAGATGGGAGATTCACAGCGGAAACAGTTGAAAATATCATCTTTCGAAGTTCGGTTTCTTCATAGTTTGATTATAACATTAACTGTTCTCGAATTACTGCATGTATGTAATATTTCACATACTCACATACAAATGTAGATTTGATTGATTAATATACTATTTTGCTCTTATACTTCGTCACTATTTATTAAATTATTACCGAATCCCAGCAAATCAGTCCACGGATCAAACCCGTAAACAAAACCAGTCCCCTTTTAAATTCCTACTAAATTGTAGTAATTTTTCTTTTTTTTTATAAATTAAAATAATATTGCACAAATAGTAAGTTATAAGTGTTTATTTGAAAAGAAACAGGGATTTTATAGTTATAAAAGTCGTTATGACGTATTGTATTTTGAAACATTTGTTTAATATCATTTTAGGAGGATTAAAAAAAAAATTATATTATTAATTAGATATATTATATTATTGGATTACTCACACATGATAATATCTCTGTCTGCTCATTTCCAAGTATCAAAGGATCTAATACGTTTCCATTTACGTCCTTTTTTTCGTTGCGGTTTCCCTATGTTCAGCGAATACTTTAACGGCCACTCCTGATATTTTGCAATAACAAATAACCATCAAAGCGTTAATTTGAAAGTGATTTTATCCGAGAGGACTATACAGTAGAATATAGGCAACGAGGCGACGGAGGAATTCAGGCAGATCTCAAAATACAAAAAAAAATACGAATTTGAGAACCCACGTTCTACGGGTTAAGCTTTTTTGTTGTTTTGCTTTAAATATTTTCCATCTGCTTTCAACACAATAATGTAAAATTAAAATGAAATGACAATGCTATAGAGAAAAGGTAAGTGTTATGGATAACGGGTAATTAATAACCGACGGTGTTTATGCCAAATAACTCTTCTATAACCCAGTTCCAATACCGAAAGTCGGAACCACTTCTTCAAAAAACTAGAGGATGATACTTTCAATTACACAGACTGTCATCATCCAATATCTGCGGTAAACATTAAATGTATTTTTTGTAATAATGTTAATTATTCATTAGATAATTTTATCCAAGACTTTTATTTGTTCAAAGATATATTTTCTAAAATTTACTATTCACCGTTAAATAATTTTTTGTTTAATCTAAGTCTATATTATCAGAATGTTAGAGGCCTCAGATCAAAATTAATCAATTTGTATTCCAACTTTATCCTTTAGTCCTATGACATTTTCATACTCACAGAGACATGACTCTCTGAAGATTTATAAACAAAGCTGAACTAAGTTTTATCGACTACCTAATATTTAGATGTGACAGAAATCTGTATTCGCTCCCGCAATGGTAGAGTTCTAATCGCCGTTCAGGAATCTCTTAATCCAATGCTTGTTTCCAATGGTGTATTAAACAACCATTTATTTGGATTTCCATTCATAATGGCCCTTCAGCTCTTATCAGTGTGATATATATTCTTACAACAAATCATTATAAGACAGCTATGTAAATTCCGTCAACATTGCCTGGGAATTAGCAAACTGCAACAATGGTATATTTTGTGGGGACTTCAACCTTCCAGGAGTGTCTTGGAATACCATTACCCAAGGTTTAATTTACACCGGTACGTTCAACAACGAGTCTTCTTTAATTGGTGATCTGTTTATCAGTATGGACTTTGTTCAATTAATTACAATTAGCAACCGTTCTGGGTCCCTTCTCGATTTACTTTTTTCAAACATCCGAGGTGCAACTGTTAAAAAATCTCCTGATTATCTAGTTCCCCGTGATATCTATCATCCTGCTCTCTCTATGAAATACCAGCCTCTTTTTCCTTTAACCATGCTAGATGATAAACATATCTATCAAATTATTTGTTATTTTCAATAAATTGCCAAAATATTAATAATTATGTTCACCACTGCTCTCTAATCTGGAAATTTTATAGAAAGCTAAAATGTGATTTATTTTAGGCTGACGGATATTTATTAATAATTATTATTTCAACTCCGCGGGACTGATAAGATAGTTGGAATTATTATCATATTTGCAGAATTGGGGAAATAACATACAATGCAAAAGTCTTTTTACTATATTCGCATGCTTATATTGAGTGTTTTTATACTGAAGACTAGTATTGACACATTTCCTAGTGTGGCATAATATACCGTAGGTAGAATACACAGTGTAGTTTATAGGACACATTATTTCAAAACGGTAAACGTTGTGTAGACTTTGTCAATAATTGAAAAACACCCTAACCTAACCGAGGGCCTCTTACACGTCTAAAGACGTGGTAAATAAGTACAAAAATAATGTGCACGTGTATTGTTCAAATAATTCGAAAAAAATGATTTTATACTAAACGCAAAAAATATCATGATCACCCATGTAGCAAATTTATCGGTTTTAAAAAAGAAAAAAACAGATATTATATTTCCTACACATTTTATAAAAGCGTTACCACATTATCTGTTTTAAGCATAAGAGTACCCATAAAAATGCATAATATTTAAAGCTACACGGTGTAATGCGTCATTTCATAGGGGTGGCAAGATATTTAAGCAAAATTAATTTAAAAATGTAATGAAAAAAATAATAAACGCATTGTACCCTGGCAATTCTAAACATTGAATCTCAACTAACTCTTAAAATTAATTATAGTGATAAAATTAATTATTTCGCTAATAATGAAGCAAGAAAATAATTACATTAAAAAAAAAATGTTGGTATTATTTTATATTGTATTTTATTAGGTCAATTTGTCATATAAAAAAACCTTTTAATAATTAAACAATTTTCATATATTAATTGTTAGATTTTAATATTGAACTACATTATATTACGAAGATTAAACACAGGGTGATCCACTTATCATGAACCACTCAATATCTCATAAGGTTTAATAAGAAAATACGAATTTTTTTTCATATTGTTTTTATACAACATGATCTCGATTTTCCACTCATTTGTTTGTTTTTATCCCCCTCCCAACTTTTTTTTATTGATAGCAACTTTTGTAACTTAAATGGTAACGCATACATTTCATTAACGTTTTTAATTGAGAATAATGTATTATATATGTAATTTTAATTTCTTATTAAACCCTATGAGATAGTGAGTGGTTCGCGATAAGTGGACCCTGTAAGTAGAAATTAATAAAGAATATCGACAATGGATAAAATATCTGTAATATTTATAATTAGGGGAGGGGGTTGCATAAATTAGATGCCCGAGGGCACCAAAATTTGAAATACGGCCCTGTGGTTGGGCAATTTTTTTAACGGCCTATTTTTAAACAAAAATATATTTTAACAGAGCTGAATAATTTGCCATGTAGTTTTGTTTGCATGTTACATAATAGACATTTTTGAATGAGTTGAACAGTATTTTTTCTAGTTGACATTATTGTAGACTATTTTTGTATTAGACCATTTTGTGCAATACACAATTTTTTTGTAGAAATTTAAAAAAAAAAACTATTTTCAAAACATTAAATCATGGATATGTAATAGTATTACGGTCCGGAAAATCACCATGATTTTTTTTTTTAGGTAGAATTATACGTATACTGCAAATTTAAGTAAGATGTTTTTGTGTTTTGTGGCCAAAATACAATTTTGTACAAATTACAAAGGTTGTACAAATTGCCAAAGTACAAATTCCTTCACTATATATATATATGAAATCGACGATTACATTGATTTTCTTAATAAAATTACACCTATGATAGTAGAAAATTTTAACATCAATAATAAAAATATCTTTTTAAAATTGAATTTTACAACCGTTAACGATTAACGTACAATCACAAAATACCTATCCGAAATTGATATCAAATATCATACCTATCAACTCCCTGAAGAAATAAACCTATCCGTAATAATCAGAAATATACCAACTTTTATACCAGAAGAAACTATATTTTCGGCCTTTACCGAATTAAATTTCAAAATCATCTCAGTCACTCGTCTTCAAAATCGTCACAGCTCTCCAATACCAATCGTTGCTGCCCTTCTAGAAAAATCCGAGAAAAATATATACTTACTTGACCGCCTTCTTCATTGCGTTATCTCAGTCGAAAGTCGCAAAAGCGATTCGTCCATACCACAATGTCAAAACTGCCAACGTTTTCAACATACCAAAAACTTTTGTAAACTACCCCCAAGATGCGTCAAATGCCTAGAAAACCACCATTACTCCAAATGCACTAAGGACAAAAATAGCCCACCAATATATGTCAACTGCAACGAAAATCACCTTGCCAATTACCGAGGATGTAAAATATATAAGGAAATAAAAATAAGTAAAATTACCTCCAATCGATACAAATCTCTCCTAATCACCTAACGCAATCACGCAGTCAAAAAGATAACAATAATACCCAATTAGTGCTTAATACCGTTATCATAAATCCCAAAAACCAAGCCCCTAACCAAATAAATCCATACTCAAGTAATATTCCAACCTACGCCAAAAAAACTAAAACAAAAATCCAACATCAACACCAGAAGGAAATAAACAAATAAGAAATAAACAACTCAAATATCAGTAACAAGCTTATAAAGTCATTAATGCCTATAATCAGCTCACTGATGTCACAAATCATTAAAAAAGTTATCGAAAATTTACCTGCTTTATTAAATAATATTAATGTCGTCTAATATTATAAATAATCATAAGCTTGTCATCATAAATTGAAACGCTAATGGAATTAAACAAAATCGTAATACATTTGCAACCTTCTTATCTGTACATAATGTTGATGTAGCATGCGTGACTGAAACTCATCTAATTGATAGCAACAATATTAAATTTAACGGCTATTCTACTTATCGCAAAGATAGGCTAGCGGTTCGACCTGCAGGTGGCGTCGCGATAATAATCAAATCCAAAATAAAACATCAGCAAATATTTCTACCTCCTTTACAAACGCTAAAAGCCGTAGCAAATACTATTTCAATCAATCACTCAATCACTACAATTATTAGTGCATATCAGTCGCCTAGCTTTCAAATGTACATAAATGATTTTGATAAAATATTAAAAAGCTATCTAAATATATTGTTAGTAGGTGACCTTAACTGTAAACACACAACTTGGAAATACAAATCTGATAATGCTAATGGACGTAAATTATACAAATATCTCGCAAACAGTTCCACGATCATTGCTGCTC